GGAATAAGCAAGCAGACACTTGGGATGTTTGCATTATTAACTTTGAACATCTGATTTGGTTAAAACTCAAAGGACACTTAGAAGCCTAAAATCCCTGTATGATCTGTACTTTCAGTGACTGAATATATTTATGTGTAAGTATCTTGGATTCAGTCCTTACATTCAGCCTATACATTAAGATATTTATCTTTTGAAGACCCCAATATTAGTGGAGATTTCTCAGAATTTAGAGTTCTGTCTAAGCAGATCTGATTGTGCTTAAATCAAAACATCTACAGTTGTATGCAGTTTTTGTAGTATTTAGTCAAACAGCTTGCATCTTTCATCTCTTCTTAGGTGCTTAAATATTTTTCTCTTAATTTTTTCATCACAAACTAAGAATTTCGCTTTCTGGGAAATGATTTTCTTTTTTTTTTTTTTATAGAATAGAATCAAATCATATATCATATCATGGAATGGTTTGGGTTGAAAGGGACCTCAAAGATCATCTAGTTCCAACCCGCCTGCCATGGGCAGGGACACCCTCCAGTAGACCAGGTTGCCCAAAGCCCCATCCAACCTGGCCTTGAACACTTCCATGGATGGGGCCTCCACAACCTCTCTGGGCAACCTGTTCCAGTGCCTCACCAGCCTCACAGTAAAGAATTTCTTCCTAATACCTAATCTAAATCTACCCTTTTTCAGTTTAAGGTCATTACCCCTTGTCTCATCACTACATGCCTTTGTAAATGGGGGAAGAGATTTGTTTGGTTGGTTATTGGCATGGAGAAGAAAGAAATGCTTGGTTTAGCGATCTTAATTTCTTTATTCCCATCTAAATTACTATGACTAAATCATTCATATCACACAGGGATATATCTAAAATGCATATATATAACTGGTTATATGGTTTCTTACTTTTTAAGCGTGTCTATGTATTCTGTTTAAATTGGAAAAAGAACGGTCTTCCTTTTATGTTCTCCCAGATTAACCAACGTGCACTTTACCATCTTCCTTGTGAATCAGTGTAAGTCATACTAAAATGTTTGCAAAAAATGAGTTGATGTTTGCAGTTTGTGTTAACTGAAGAACAGCCTAGTGTAGGAAAGATAATCTGAAGCAGTTTGTGTAAATATCTTGCATATTTAGGAAGGAATGCACTGTTTCAGAGGATTTTATACTTTTCATTAAAAGTGTTTGCTCTTATTTTTTTGTGTATGGCTGCATTTTAAAAAAAATAAGCACTTATCAAGTGGTACAGTTGAAAAAAAAAATCATTTATCAGCTCAGAGGTGTAATCTCTGGAGGAGCACTTCTACCAGCAGATGGGGCTCCTCAGCGTCTTAGAAAGGGATGGTGACTAAACTGTGCCTCTAAAGACTGGGAGACTAACGTTTGCCTCCATGTTGTGCGTTGAAAAACCAAAATTAAAAGTTTACGCATGTGTTGCAAAACGTATAAGAAAACTTCATAGAGACCTGAAAGTAAGATAGAACCTCATATGGGAAGTGATACCTGTTGCAGATTAATTACCCGCAGTTCTTCAAATCTGGAGCATTAATAGAAGAATATTTCATGCTACATTTTAAATTTATACGGAATGGAGAAAGAAAAAAAAAAAGAGAGTTTAGATTTAGGCTTTGGCAAGTCTTTTACCCTCTGTTTTCTTAGGATTTTGAGTTTCCCTTTTGGAAGTTTAAGCTGATAGTACTTCCAGCCTAGGTAGCTGGAGAAAGAGGCAGGAAACCTGATTCAAGTTAGGGAAGGTATTGTTGGGAGCACTCACTGTGGCAGTGCTCTTCTTCACTATTACATTCTAACTGTATTATCAGTGGCTTATACTTGTAGTTTAAGTATGTATTTTAAGGATTGTGAAACATGATTGTCTGAACTGATTAAATTTAATTTTCTTTGGATAACACTTCTTCTCTACCTTCTGTTTGAATAGATGCTGTAAATGAAATTTAGGCTACTACTGCCATTTTTGGTATTGCCTACTTAAACACTGAAATAGTGTTTGTGTTTTTAATATCTCATCTAGGATTTTTGCATAAATTTTGAGACTCAGCACCATTATTAAAGGTGCCTAGTTTCCTTAGTGTAGATATTCAACATTTTCTGAACATTAGACCTTGTTTAGGTATTTCTGGTTTAGAACCTGAAACATAGAATCCAAAAATCACAGATTACCATTGAATACAGCTGTTTACCTTAGTTAACAGGGTAGATAAAAAGTTGTCTCTTGAAATACATGTTTACCTATTGCAGAAACCACTATACAGCATTCACTTTGTTAGTGTTTTTTATTTGGAAGACCTTGTAATTGCA